TTGAATCACGTTAGTTAAGAAAGACTTCCATCATCTTTACAGACCTGTGCTGCTGCTCCTGGTTTGCTAATAATGGGTTTTTGTCTTTCTAGAGAGCAGTTGTGAAGTTATGAAAGATAGCTTTTATGTTTTTCGTGTTGTGCAATTCTGTTTAGGTGCTGCTTGAATTATGAGAGAGATATTTCTTACAGTCTAAAGAGATTTAGTAATGATGCTGAATATGATAGTACACACTTTACTGTTGAAAGCAGTAGATTGTCTTGTATTCTTTTTTTTCTCATGCTAACAGTGTAGTACTGTTAAGCAAAGTGAAAATGAGCTTTGCTGTAGTCTTGATTTGGGAGTGGAGGGTGGTGGGGGGAAGTATTTTGCAGTTGACTTCTAAAAATAATATTTACTTAAAAAAAACCCCCATGGGTTTGATCACTCTTGATCTCTTTCAGACACTGCTGGTGTTGGCTTGTGTTGCTTTGAGTCAGTGTCCGCAGAGAAAGGCAGGAGGCAGAGGGAGGCACTGCCGCACTGTTTGTGTGCCTGTATTTGCCAGAATTGTTGCTTGGTTGGTGAACAACCTATTGATGAAGGCCAGGAAAAGTAAGGGTGTACACTTTAGAGATCAGCCAGGTCAAAATATCTGTTACCTTGACAATTTTTTTAAGTTTTGGGGAGTTAGTATGATAACAGTGTATATTTTACACCTGTTGAACACATACCTGTGTTTATGGTTTTGCTGTTTGTGTTATAAATGATGCCTATGGACCTTTTTTATTTCTGAAAAATTAATGCAGGAAAAAACATTTGGATTGTCTCCATTAAGAAAGATGTATTAAAATTGTTATTTTCCTTGCTGTCTTTTTGTATGAGATAAAGCCATGGAGAATTGTGGAATAAAACCATGGTGGTTTTATGGTATGCTCTGTTTTTTTAATGTATTGTTGGTCACTTCAAGACCAACAGGTAGAAGATGTGGTTTTCTCAATGTTATAAATCTCTTTTCTCTGGAGCTTTGTAGTAGGCTAATACTTATCTCTCCTGTTTACGATTTCCTGTTCACTCCCTTGCTAGGAAGTTTATGACCATGTGTGGGTTCATACCTCTGGTCTGAGCTGGTAGAAAAGTAGGCTGACAAAAGGGAGTTGGCTGCATACTTTATGGCAGCTGAATGATTGTGTGTGTGTGAGGAGGTGTCGTTGAATACACAGAAATTGATTGTGCAGACTGGGAAGATAATGCATGACTAAAAAATATCATATAGTTGCTCCATATTATATTCGGGAAGAGGTGAAAGTGGTAAGTGGGATAAAGACTCACAATTAGGAATAGATATTTCATTTGCATAAGTAGCTCTGCGTGATTGTTGCTGTTATTAACATTAAATGTGGCAGAAGGAAGTTCTCTGAATAATGGGAATGCAAAAATTGAGGCTGTTCAGTACAGACACTTGAATATGGAACAATTATGTTTTGCACTTTACAAACATTGGGGCTGTGAATCTGGTCAGCATATCAGAGTGACTGGCTAAAGTTTGTTTAGGTTTAAATAAAAGCTCAGAGTACTGGATTCCCATGAAAAAGTCAGTTTTCTGAAAACCCTTTCTTCAGTGTTAGGTGCCACTGCCAAAGGCAAAGGCACCCACTGTGCAGAGGGTCTGGTGTGTGTGATGACAGAGCATTCACCTGGTGGTAATGGCATGTAGAACGGGACAGTAAAAATTATTGGCAAGGGAGATACCTACCTAGAATCGTCCTCATCTAACTTTCATCCTGCGAAATATTTGGAGTTGACGTGAGAAGGTATTAACAGAAGCTGCTTGGGTTCTAAATTCTAAAATCCCAGCTCCTTTTTCTTGTTTTTGGTTTTGTTTTTTTCACTTTCATGTTCTGTTATTTGCTGTCCAGGTCTCCTAACCCACTTTCCTGTCCCCATCAGCAGTGTGTATAGGTTATTACTTTTTTCTGGATAACTTAGGATTTACATCAAGAAAATGAAAGGGCACAGTGCACCATTTCACCTTGGTTTCTTTTGCCTATTTTTGGCTAAAAGGGCTTTTGTTTTGAGTCAGAACCACAAGAGAGTCACCAGCCAGTTCTATGTGCACACTGTGCCCTGATTTTTGTTCTTGAGGGGATATAATAGAAAATCCAGCTAGAGTAGAAACATACTGAAGAGATGTAGTAATAGGTAAGACAGTCCTTTCTTTGAGCATGCAGTTTAGTGAAGCAAATTTGGAAGCCTTATTGTGAAGATCAGAAATGCATAATCAAGCCAATCTCGCTTCCTCTACAGCAGGAAGCTTGCGGAGTGGAGAAAGCCACATGTGATACTCTTGCAGAGCAAGCTAAGGAAACATGGCCTAGATAAAAAAAGCTATTTTAGGATGTGTGTAAAATCATTAGGTTAACAGTAGACAGAGGGGTTTTTTTCAGTAGTTCACTTTCAGGAAGGGAAAGCGTATTGTATGGGATTTTGTGTAGTTGTTTCAGCTTATTGTTCGTCTTCACGAACTGGGTAATGGAATAGCATACAGCTATATATTCTGACGACAAGATGTTTGGGAATAAATGCAGGTACACAAAGCTGGGATGGTAATTCAGTAGGACCTTGAATACTGGAAAGATGGCGTGAAAGAATAGGATGTGATTTAGAAGAATATGTGAAATGCTTTACATTTAGAGCAAAATAACTTGAAAAATAAAAGGAGAACAACTGTTATAAGTTGTTTCTGTCACCCCATTTCCCACCCTGATCTAGGACAAGCCATCGCTTATGAGAGTTAATGATGCAGCATTCTTCAGAAAGAAGAGCTTTGTGTATGTATTGGCATGAATAAATGGCAGTATAATCTGAAGGACAAGTGGAGTTGAACCTTCTGCTCTGTTCTGTATTGTAAAGTTAAAGTATTGGGTCAGTTTTGGCCATTGTACTTCAAGAAAGATGTAGGCGCAGTTAATTTGCCTCAGGAGGGTAATGGTAATGACTGGTGGTTTAGAAAATGTGGTATGTGCAAGATAATGATCGAATTGGCATTTTTGTAGCCCAGACAAAAGATCAGGGGAAATTATAAGCTTTTAAGTGTGTAGAAGTTCACTACAGAAAAAGCAAACATCTGCCCTTAGTAGATGTGCCTTGCTTACTAATGGCAACATAGATCATTCTGTCTGTGTCCTGCACTCATGGTTTGCTTTCTGTCTGTCTGTTTTATAAGAGCTGTTTCTGTCCGGTGTCTTGGACAGCACTGAACAAAGTGTCTGTTGTCTTAGGACTCTGAAGAAATATATAAATTGGCAAAATCACTAAAAGGTGGATCTTCATCTAACCAGGCGAATGTATAGGTAGGTACTTCAGTTAAAACTCTTGAGCAGGTAGAAAAAAACTTGCTCCCAGATTTGCCAGCCACTTAGCCACTAATGGACTAGTTTCCACATATGTGGAAATGGATCATGCTCTCCACCTCTGTAAGGCACCTGAGTTTACTGAAGAAGGCTGTGACTAATTTGCTCTGGTAAAGGTGGTTGGGTCTCTTCAGAATAACATCATGATCTCTTAATATTTAACACTTTCAGGAAGGTAACAATGATGTGATCTGTGTTAGACATCCTGCTGGGTATGTCTTGGGGCATCTTGTAGATCCACATTTTTTTGGCCCTTTGAAACTTTTTTTTTCTTTCCAGTTTTGGTATAAATTGGTGTTATTCCTAGGAGATCCTTAGCCAGTTCTTTTAAAATTCAGACTGTAAGCCACTTCTGTGGATATAAAACTGCTTACTATTCCTGTTCTGTCAGTATGCTTTATCAGTATTTTGGTAATCTATCCTCAAATGGAGAACAAAATTAGGAGTTGAGACATTTCCCTTTCTACTTTGATATGCAAAAAAAAAAAAAGGGAATCTGCCAAGTATTATACATACTTCACCTGCCTCAGTACTGGGATAATAATTTGTTTCAGAGTAAATGATTGGCAAACACTTTTTCTATTTTCCTCATACTGTCATGTTAGCATAGTGTGAGCATCTTTTTTTTGCCCTTGTAGTTAATTTTTCATTTGGACAAGCTTAACAGTTTAAACAGGTAGAGCAATCAGCTTGATTAACTTAGTAGGCTCGTACATAATACAGCAAATACAACACATAAGCTCGTAATATATGGCAAACATTACTTAAGTGTAAGTAAGTTACAATTGCATTAAAAATTGAAAAAAATCTGCTTTCTTCTTTGTTAAAGTATTTGTTTACGTTTCAGCTGCTTAGAATTTCCTTCAGACACTGCTGTATCAACTGGGTAAAAGAAGAGATTTGAAGGAATTACTGTTTCTAAAATTTTTACAGATAGCACTTGGAAAGGCTCAGGCATCATTTTTCAGGTGTCACCTTTTTTTAGAAGTGAAAAAACATTACTTCTTAAGCATCAGGTCTGTGTTAGTTTAATAACACCTTTTTTTTTTTTTTTTACAAAAGCTGTCATTATAAATGCTAATGTTAAACTTGTGGGCGAGAGATGAAAGAATGTAAAAAAAACCCTCTACGTCGATAAACTGGAATATATATGGGAAAACTTGGTCCGAAAGAATGATCATCTGAGGAGCTGCTCATGTGAATGTGTGCTGCTGAGGAGGCTGTTTTCTAGGCCTATCGAGAACAATTCCTAGTTTGTTGTGCTAAGTGCTCATGATTGGATAGAGGGCGACGTATATAGAACTCAAAAATAGATAACTGCTTATTTGAGAGGACAGGCAGTCCTCCCACTTAAATCGTATCATCTGAAAGGCTAAAAAATTTTGATGACTTGTTCCACCTCTCCACTCTACCCCGCATATGTTGTTTTCCTCACAGTCTCACTTCACTGCCTCTTTTTAGAAGCAGGCTTTTGGCTCCTTCTCCCTTGCACAGGGTTTTGGATTTTGAAGTCTTAAATGCTGGGAAACTTGCCTCCCTTTCCACTTCAAGATCTGCCAGAATTACATCTGGAACTTATTTGAATTTCTGCTTTTCTCCTAGGACAGACTTAAGACCTTGCGGAGGGAAGACCTCTTTTGCTCCTATGTTCATGCCAGAATGGCCTAGGCCACTCTGTTGCTCTATGGTTCCTACCACAGGCACCCTACAGCAATGTATTGGGATTTTGCCACCAGTGCTAGCAGACCATCCAGATGGCTGTAAACCTGCAGAGGAGGTTAGTACAAAATACGATCCAGAAATTCTTGATGCTTTGGTAAGGTCTGTCTGCTTGGGGTGTATCTTAGAGCAAAGGGAATGCTTAGAGACTGCATGTATGCTAGTACTTTGTCTTTTCATATTGCATGTTCATATTCTCTGTTCCTTCAGAATCCTGGTGGACTGGTTCAGTTCTCTGCAGCTATTAAACAGATGTCCGTAAGAATCCCTTTAGATATTAGCACAAGACGAATTTATCGATTACTGTGGTTATCTCTGAAAAGTACGATATCCAAGTGGGTAAAGCACCCCATTTTTAATTCTCCTAAACTTACCTTTGCTCTCTCTCAGTATCATATCATCTTAAAAAGGGTGATCTAGGTCTGTTAGCTGGAAGTCACATCAGTTTTTCACCCAGCTGAACTAAGAAAGCCTGTTATTTATTTTCTGTGTTTCTGCAGTAAACACAGTTCCCTTAAAGCATCCTTGTCAGGCAAGAGATGACTTATTAAACTACTACTGTGTAGTCACTGACTGCCCAATGAGAATTATAGAATGGCTTTGGTTGGAAAAGACCTTTAAGACCATTGAGTACAACCGTCGATCCAGCCCTACTAAGTCAGCCACAACACCGTGTCCTGTCTCTAAGCATGACATCTACTCGTCCTTTGAACACCCCAGGGATGGTGACTCAACCACCTCCCTGGGCAGCCTGTTCCAATGCTTGACAACTCTTTCAGTAAAGAAATTCCTCCTGATATCCAACCTAAACCTCCCCTGGCACAACTTGAGGCCGTTTCCCCTTTTAATAGACTTCTGTTGTGAGAATTTCCCAAAATGTGAGACCAGCCTTTGCAACAGTCCAAGATGGACAGTACTGATATTTTTGTAAATTCTCACTGTCAGGCTCTCAGTGCTTCAACATATAAACATCTGTAGCTCGTCTGAGATCTAGAGTTTAAGTTTGGGTGCTGTGGAAAAATCAGTACTGAAGCTGAAGACCAAGATACTATGGGAACAATCTTTGTATCCACAACTGTAGTCCTGAGCAAGAGCCGTTGCTATGTTGGACTGTTTGCACGCTATTCTAGCAACTTCTCCCTTTCATTTTCTTCTGTCCTTGTCCAATCTTAAACTATTCCAAGTTCTAAAGGATTTCCAGAACACTGCTTTATTGGTCTGCTTATTTAGCTTTTTATCTGACAGTTCTTTTCTTGTTTACCTATTCAAAGTAGAACCCAAAATACAAACATTGCCTACTTTAGAAGTAGACTTTATGTGGACAAATTTATGGGTCCTTGAAGAAAATCTCATGGTTGTTCTTTTTATACCATGTGTACATTCACATGGATTGTCAGTGGAAATAAAAGACTTAAAAGTATGATATTTCTCAAGCTTGTGTTGTCAGAGATCTCTGGGAAGACAGAATTAAGAAAAACTAAATCTAAAGCAAATGAGTATAAATAAAAGGGAAAATGAAGGATGAATGTGGAGAATATCATCCTTAGTGCAGAACTGTGTGTTAATTAAGTACAAAACAGTTGTTAGCAGCAGAAGTTACCTGCCAAGCAGACAGCTTTATGAAGTGAAGCTTCCATGTGTGAAGAGAGCTTAAGAGCTGTATGGCCTGTCTGTATAAATACAGCCATTTGCTTTCTATGTAGAATTTATGTTTGCATATGGATATAGCAAAAGGGCACAAGTTTTTGTGAGAAACATTGCAGTAATTTCATGAATGTATTGCAAAAATCTAATCGCAAATTGGACAATGCTAGCTTTTGATTTTTTTCCGTATCTGATCAGGCTATGTTTTCTAGAGAAAGAGAAACAAGCATATATTTTGAAACATTTTTTTTTGAGGGGCTGCTAGGTTTTTTGGATGGAGATCTGATGTCTTCTCTGTATTTCAAAAAGTGTTTACCCCTGGAAAACTACTGAGCTACTTTCGGTTAGAATTTTGATGTTTCCCTAGATGTGGTGGAGAATATGTGGTATTTTAAATTTTGTTTCAAACTATCTGCAGCATTGCTGTTAAAAGGATGTAAAATTTGTTAACAAAACCTTTGAATTCTTTGCCATTCTTCATTTTACTTGAGATAACCCACCATCTGTTAAATGATTGTCACCCTTATTTTGTCAAATCATATTTTGCAGTTCTTTAAGTCGTCACGTTTAGTCACATGCATTATCCTATTCAGCAGTTTTTAACTTGATATCTGCCTGTATTTTGTGCATATTTTCCGCATATATTGAAGGCACAGAAAAATTGTTCTTTGAATGTGTTTGGTATTTCTTCAGGTTCCCCTTCTTCATTTTTAGTCTACAACAGAAAGTTTTCAGAATTGGAGGTTTCTGCAGTTACTTGCGTAAGGATTGTTGAATCTGTTCACTGTAGTTTACCCTATGTCTCCAGAAATCTCCTTTATAATCTTTTTGCCTAATTAGCTGACTCTGCTTTTTTTTAATTCAAATTCTTGCCCATTAGTGATTCATCCTTAATGACGACTATTTGCTTATGTAATTTTCTGCCATCTTTAAAAGTGTTTGAAGAATTAATGAACTATTTTATTCCACTTTAGCTTTTGGCTTTGATACATATCTAAAGAATAATCGAGAAGCTTTATGAATGTTGGATATTTTAGAACACTTGAGACTTAGCTTGCAGGATTCAACAATTTCTCCTAACATACAAGGGAGGTTTCAAGAATGTCTTGTAAAGGACTTAGTCACTTGATTGTTCATAGTCTGCTTAGGTCTTTGTGAAAAAGGTGTAACTAACTTGGTGACAGTGAATTCGTCTGACCTTTAAGTAGTCAAAGATTTCCCCTTGAGATTTGGGATTCTTTAATGCTGACACCCGAGTTGCTAGTTTTCTTCTCTTCTATCTTAACAGCAGAACAGAGAGTAAATTCCAACCTCCTTTGTCTGTATTCATCAGTGTTCTGAAGAAGAATCTGCCTATTTCCTGAAAATACTCCTAAAGCAAATGCTACCTGACGTTTGTAAGTGTTGAATGTGCAGACTGAAGGAAATATCAGCTGCAGAAAATTCTGTTTAGTATTTGACACATCTGTATCAAGAGTGATCTATTGACAAGGATAGTATTCATTTTAGTGCAGTCTCAGCTGGTAAAAAGTGAGTTTGCAGTTTGACATTTTAATGTAGAACTTTTAAAAAGTTCTGGAAGTAAATTTGATTTTCTGGACCATGCAGAAACATTATAAAAGAAGATGGAAAATACGAGCATTGAGAATATGGAACAGCTTACTGTGTTTTTACTTCCACATGGTCTAATCTAGTGCATGTGATTTCTTAAAGAAGATTGCTGGCAATTGTAAATCTATTTTATTTTTTTTTAGCAGGAATTTTAACTTGAAGTCCTGTCAGCTAGCCTGTTCTACTTACGGCTCATCTTGCACCTGTCAGATGATTTAAAATAGTCTTTGGAATGTGTGACTTTTTGATTATTAGAAATTCTTGACTGCTTGGATGCATTTGGTCTTAGCAAACATATGCCTTTTCAGACCAAGTGATGCTGCTTTTGGCTAGAAGCCTTCATGTTGTGTAACATTATGTCACAAGCCTGAGTATCTAAAATATCTGGAGGTGTTTACAGGTTTTTGTTGCAGACAGCAAATAGTACACTAATAGCCTAAACTCTACTACTGTGACATTATCCCATTATTATATACATTTTGGGCAGGTCAGCTTTTTATTTCTTAAACAAAAAAGCCTTGGAATTGGCATTAGCTCTGATAGGCAAGCTAAAATTATTTAGTTAAAAAAACCCAAAACAACCCAAACAAAACCAGCCTGTTTCTTCTGAGTAATTGTGAACTTGCAAGGTCTGTAGCTCACATGACAAAATTGTTTTTCATGAGGAAATGGAATTCTTCACCTAGAATACTGGTGCTGATGAACACTCGATTTTCCTCTTCCGGTCCCATAGTGTTGGGGTCGGAAGATGAGCTAGCATAGCTCTTCAGGGATTTATTAAAGACTGGAGTCGATTTATAGCTCTGGGATGCTGACTGGCAGGAGTGCTGCTGTACTGAAAAAGCTGAGCATTGCTGTACTGAAAAAGCAAAGTGCTGGGTCACCAACTGTGAATATTCCAAAAAGAAAAACCAAAGTAAATCCCACCTCAGACCTCTGCAAAGAGTAGCCGAAGGCTCAAATAATTCTTGCTGAGGCTTCTTTGGGCATTAGTTACTGTACATCAGGGATTTATGAGCTTGGTACACTGCTCGCACTGACATTAAAATGCTCTTTTTCTGCTGTTAATAACAAAACCCTTTCACTCCTGAAGTGCTCACTGCCTTCATGCTGCTGTGATGCTCACTGATGAAAATACTGCCTGTACTCTGGCTGGCTGTTCCTCCAAGTCAGGCAGCCTCAGTGGCCCTCCCAGAGCATGTATAGGAAGTGGCTATGGCTCTGAAGAGAAATGTTTGCTCTCCCAGCATCTGTGGCATCAGTAGCCCGATTTAAGACTGCAGTTGTTTCAGGAAAATAAATAACTTGTCTATCGATTTATAAATCTGCTTTCCTAAAAGGATTGCCTATTTGGTAGCTGTCAGGAGAGGCAATGTCTGCTGTTCAGTGCAAGAAGGAAAAGATTTTTATAATGGTGGCTTGTACTTACCTGCTAGTACTACAATACCCAAAAACTGAATGCCCAGGCAAAAACTTAAAGCTCTTCACTTCTATATATCTGTGTATTCATATTGTTATGAGCTGTAGTTAAATTGAGCTACTGATATACTCCTAATATTTGAATCAGTGCTGTAAGACAATGTATAGGGTTTTTTGATATAGGATTGGCAATATTAAGTAACGTATACTGATTGTTCACTGGGCATAGTAGAAGCATATTTTAAATCTGAAAGCAGTTGAGAGAATGGAAATGTCTCAAGGATCCTTGAATAAGTCTGTCTATTTTTAGATAATTTTCATTCAACCTGAAGAGCAGAAAGAAAAATGAAATTGTTGCCTCAGTCATTTGGAAACTACTTTAAA